CAGCAGATGGACTCTGATATGCGCATCCAATTGCCGAGCACACACTGAATAGCCCAAAGGCGGGCAGTTTAATAAGGAATTCTATTTTGTCTTGCATTCTTGATGAAGTGCAAGACAAAAAATATTGAAATTGTGAATCCTCCATTAGACAGAATAATACAAATTTATTCAGCCGTACTGCCAATCCGGTCTGTAGGTTTGCCTGTCTGTGTCTCTGTACTGAGCCCAGTGGCTGTTTTGAAACACGTACAGAAGTGCTAATTAGAAAGCTGTTGAAATAGCGTAGTGGGACTCTCAATGAAACAAAGAGCAACATTATTGAACAGCATGATTGGAAGTAGAGATCATTAAAACATGGAATGTAAAAGGAAATGGGGTGAAACAAACTGGAATTTCATAAAATAAAAAAAGGAGCAGCCTGGTGTGCTCAACTGGTAAATTGTACGGCTAAGACGGGAGGCTGGATTGTTTGTGCTCCTAAAAATAGTCTGTAAATGTCTTGTGATGTGCCAGTGCTGTGAGAAACAAACTTTCAGCTCAATTTAAGTACAGAATAGCAGAGGGCCATGCAATAAAATGGCTTTGGAGAAAGATGGTCACTGAGTGGTGTAATTTAGCCATGTCTCAGTGTCACAAAGTGCACCGCAGTGTCTGACTGTACGCTGTCCAGAGCAGTAACTACTAATGAATAACTTTTACATTTCACAGGATGCGGAGGCAAAGAAAAAGTCCCGTGTTTTTGTTACTTGTCATTTTTCTTCATCACATACACAGGGGCATTTCTAGCTTCAAGCTGGTGTTCCTCTTAATATAAGAGCTCTGCTTTTTTGTCAGAAACACGCCATTAATGCCAGACAAAGACCAAAAAGAGTAGAAGAAAAGCAACAATTGTGAGACAGAGCTTTAAGTGAATAGAAACATGCAAGCACTTAAACAAAGGACAAAGAAGTAGAGCTTTGGGAATCATTTGTTGAAATGATGACATATTTAGGTGGCTTTCCTGTTGAATTCCATGTTTATCTTGTTATTTAATTGCTTGTAACCGGTGTTGTAATGATATGATTGTGTGCTGGCATTGTAATGCAAGAAAAAACAAAAAAAAATCTTTGTTTACCAGCTCGTTTTTGACTATAATTGAGTCCCTTGAAAGCATGATGCAGTCTTCATTTCCTGACAGCTGACGAAATATGCCGATGTGTATTTTTCCACTGCATTTTCTAAAATACAATTTTATTTTTGTCACTTCTAATGAAGCAAACTCTCTTAATATGCTTAAGAAAAGGATATTTTTTAATTTCACAGTACAAACAGAAATCATCAAACAAGTTTAATTTGTTTAATTATTTAATTTCAGGTAGATTTTTTTTACCCTTCAGTGTACTTTCAGAATACCCTGAAACCACTTCTGTCTTAAGCAAGACAGATGAATCACCAAAAGTCCAAAGAAAAATACCTCTTTGTATATAGATTTTTATATCTCTCTTTGGCTCTTTCCCCCCTCTCTGTGATTATAGCTCGCTCTGCACTGATTTTAAGGGTGAGTGAGCTGACCCTCTGTGTGGGCTGCCTTGCATGGCCTTCGCTGATATAAAACATGGCTGTTCTGTGTGCACGAGTGGGCTGTTAGAAGGGTAGAAAGAAAGAAGACTGTACACGTTAGAAAGCCTAATCACCTCCGTCGTTGTTTGACTGAACATTGATGCGATAAATGAAAGTGGAAATGTTTTCTATGAAGTGTCTGTCCACCTGACCTCCCACAAATGCCAAAGCTACATTCGCTCTAGTGCGAGTATTGTATTAAAGAGAGCTCCAGTGTTATAATTATGCAAAGGTGATTTCTTTGTTTTCTGTCTTTCAATGGAAGCACAAAAACTAACCAGCATTAAATGACAGGAAAGGAGAGCACGGCGTATAGGCAGCATTAGCAAAATAAAGAGCTGCTGTGTCCTTACAAATGCTTATCAATTCATGAAAGACTGTTGCCACTTTTGTGTTGTTGTTCATGCTCAAGCCCTTCTAAAAACCAGCTTGTATTGTTGACTATGCGTTTGAATAAAACTGGGTAGGAACATAAAAAGTAGAGGGAGAGAATACCTCCACGTTTATGTAGTGCCTCAGTATTGCTGCTCTTGGACAGGTATGATAGTGACTAAATCCACAAGGGTGCTTGTTGCATATCTTTAAAAGAAAAAATCAGTAAACTCTATCAGGAAGGCTAACAGAGTCAGCCGTGGACAGCAGAGGCTGTAACGTATTGTGTTATGATCTTTTTTTCTCTTTTACTTACCTTTATTACATCCTAGCACTAAAAAGACAAATAACACATTTTGCTGGAGAGTGGAATCTGCTTTTGTACTTCAGTATTAGTTTGTGCCCCTTGTGTAGTTGGATAGAGTGCTGATCTTTGTATTAGCCCAACACCAGATAGAATCATTTCTTTTTTAAGAATACACTCCCAAAAATAATAATAATAATAAACTTTATTTATAAAGCACACTTAAAAACCAAGGGTATTCCAAGGCGCTTAACAAGTAACATAGAGAATAAAAGGAAGATAATAGAAATAGGATGAAAGCAACTACTAGGTATTCAAGCAGGTAGCTGTCACTGATACATAGGAAAGCAACAGGTACAGAGCAAAGAAGAAATGAAATGAGCATAAAAGTGCATGATATAAAATCATAAAAGAAATATTAACTAGAAGGAAAGGCAAGATTGAATAAGTGGGTTTTTAGTCGTGATTTGAACAGTGCAATGGAATCAGATGCACGGAGGTCGAGAGGAAGGGTGTTCCACAGTACCGGGGCAGCCAGAGCAAACGCACGGTCACCCCGGGACTTCAGCTGAGATCTAGGTTGGGTCAGAAGTAGTTGAGTGGCAGATCTAAGTGTTCTAGCAGGAG